GCAGTTTTACATCCTCTTGATCTATCTTTGGTACTTCATATGTTTCCAGAAATCTGTCTATTTCTTCTGTGTTATCTAACCTTTGAGAGTAGAGGTTTTCGAAATAGGTATTGATGATCTTCTGTATTTCCGTAGAGTCTGTTTTCACCTTTTTCATTTCTTATTGCATGAATTTGAGCTTTTTCTTCCCTTTTTTTAATAAGGTTGTCTAGAGGCTTATCAATTTTATTTATTCTTTCAAAGAACCAACTCTTTGATTTGTTGATTCTTTGGATTGTTTTCTTAGTCTCTATTACGTTGATTTCTGCTCTGATTTTTATAATTTCCTCTCTTCTTTTGGCTTTGGGCTTGACTTGCTCTTCTTTTTCTAGCTGTTTGAGGTATAGCATCAGGTTATTTATTTGTATTCATTCTGTTTTCCTGATGTGGGAACTCAGTGCAATAAATTTTCCTCTCAGGACGGCTTTCATTGCATCCCACAGATTCCATTAAGTTGTGTCTGTATTTTCATTTTCTTGTAGGTATTGTTTAATATCTTCTTTAATTTCTTCTGTGACCCACTGGTTACTCAAGAGTCTGTTATTCAGTTTCCATATGTTTGTGGGATTTTTGTAATATCTTTTATCACTAATTTCTAATTTCAAAGTGCTATGATTTGATAACATGCAAGGAATGATTTCAACTCTTTTGCATTTGTTTAAATATGTTCTGTGAGCTAATATATGGTCTATTTTAGAGAATGACTGATGTACTGCTGAGAAGAATGTGTATTCTGATGTTGTTGGGTAGAACATTCTGTATATGTCTATCAAGTCCATTTGTTTACAGGTGTGATTCAGTTCTGTTATTTCTTTGCTCATTTTCTGTCTGGTTGATCTGTCCCTTCGTGTCAATGGCATGTTAATGTCTCCTGTTACAATTGTGTTACTGATAATTTGAGTTTTCATTTCTGTTAATAGTTGTTTTATATAACTGGGTGCTCTGGAGGTTGGTGCATATATATTTAAGATAGTTATCTCTTCCTCTTGGAGTTTTCCCCTAATAATCATTGTTGGTTTAAAGTTCACATTGTCTGCAAACACAATGGCTACTTCTGCCCTTTTTTTTTTTTTTTTTTTTTTTGGATTCCTGTTGCGTGAAGTATTGTTTTCCAGCCTTTGACTTTCAGTCTGTGAGTATCCTTCTGGGTTAGATGGGTTTCCTGTAAACAGCATATGGTTGGATTTTGTTTCTTAATCCATTCTGCTAGTCTGTTTCTTTTGATTGGTGCATTGAGACCATTTACATTAATGGTTATAACTGTTATATGCTGGTTTATTATTGACATGTTATCTCTCTTCTGTTGCATCTTTATCTTTTTGTTCTGTTTAATTATCTGCTTTGCTTAGTGGTTTTTTCCTTTGTGTATCTAAACTATCTCTCAATATTTTTTGCAGGGTTGGCTTGGTATTCATGAAGTTCTTCAGCTGTTCTTTGTCATGGAAGTATTGGATTTTACCACCCATTTCGAATGATAGTTTTGCAGGATACACCAGTCTAGGTTGGAAATCATTTTGCTTTAGCATCTGGAATACTTCACTCCATGCTCTTCTTGATTTTATTGTTTGTGCTGAGAAGTCTGCTGTGATTCTAATAGGTTTTCCTTTATAAGTGATCTGTCTTTTCTCTCTGATGGCTTTTAATAATCTATTCTTGTGTTGGATTTCTGCAATAGTGATTATTATATGTCTGAGTGTAATTTTATTTTGGTTATGACTATTTGGAGTTCTATAGGCTTCACTGAACCTGATGTCGGTTTCTGATGTCATGCTTGGGAAATTTTCAGCTATTACTTCTCTAAATATCCTTTTGACATCCTTTATGTTGTCCCCTTTTTCATTAATCCCTATCAATCTTATGTTATTTTTCTTTGCATCATCTTGCAGTTGTTGAATTGTTATTTCCTGATTCCTTGTTATTTTTAAAAGATCTTTCCTTTCCTGTTCACTAGCTGCAACCCTGTCTTCAAGGTCTGAAATTCTATCTTCACTTTCATTGAGGCAGTTTTTACAGCTTTCAGTGGAGTTTTTGATTTCCTGTATATCTCTGTGCATCTGCTTTATGTATTCTGTTTGTTTCTTATATTGCTCGTCTAGGGATTCTATCTTTTTGTTTAGTTCCTCCAATTTTTTAACTGTTTTCTTCAGATATATTCAGAATCTCTTTCATTTCTTTTATCATTTCCTCTTTTACCTGGGAGATTATTTTGAGTTTGAATTCCTTTAAATCTTCCTGGAGTTGCTTGTTTATTTCAGTAACTATTATGCCGGATATTTGAGGTATATGGCATATATTTTCTTCTATATACATCACTCCTAGGGTTTCTTGACATGGGCTGGAGGTTTGAGGTTGTAACTTGGTCTTTTGTCATTTTCCTATATTTCTGTGTTTTAAGTGTTATTCAAAAGTTTCCTCGGGGTTTGTTGGAAATCCACTTCTTTGTTTGTGGCTCCTGGGACTAAAGCACCCAGTTCCCCCAGGCCACTGGGCCTCGAGAACCAGTGGCTATCTTCTGTCTGTTTAGAACTCCATAGTTCCAGATAAGCTGGGCTCCAGGGACACTGTGCCCCCCCCCCACTTGCTGGAAACTCCACAGTTCTCTGAGTGCAGCTGGAAAGGGGAGGCGGATGTAGGCACCTGAGGCCCACTTAGCCACTTCACTGCATCCAGAAGGCTCAAGGGTCCGGAACAGTCTTGGCTTGGGGCAGAATGCACTGGGCACTTCCCGCAGGCTGTGGGACCTCTGGAACTGGTGATGCTTGCCTGCTTGCTGAGAGATCCACAGTCCTCCAGACACACAGGGAGGTGGATGCAGGTGCCCCAGATTCGCCCAGCCCTTACTCTGGACCCAGACAGTGCAAGAGTACCAAATAGGCTGGGCTCCGGGGATAGTGTGCGCCTGCCTGCTTGCTGGAAAGTCCACAGTTCTCCGAGCGCAGCTGGAATGGGGAGGTGGATGTAGGTGCCTCAGACCCACTTAGCCATTTCACTGCACCCGGAAGCCTGGAGGGTCCCAAACAGTCTGGGCTTGGGGCAGAGTGCACTGGGCACTTACTGCAGGCCGCGGGGCCTCTGGAACTGGTGATGCTCGCCTGCTTGCTGAGAAATGCACAGTCCTCCAGACACACAGGGAGGCAAATGCAGGTGCCCCAGATCTGCCCAGCCCTTATTCTGCACCCAGACAGTGCAAGAGTCCCAAATAGACTGGGCTGGAAACTGCTTGCTGGAAACTCCACTGTTCTCCAAGAGCAGCCGGGTTTCTCGGGCTTACAATTTTTTGCTTATATTGTTTTTATCTAGTTCTGAAGCTCATATTTCATTAGCTTAATTTAAAAAATCTGTGCCAGGCATGGTGGTGGTACATACCTGCAATCCCACCACTCAGGAGGTGAGGCAGGAGTATCACTGCGAATTTGAGGCCAACCTGGGCTACAAAGTGAATTCAAGGCCAGCCTAAACAGCATTGTGAAACTATGTCAAAAAGACAAAAAAAAAAAATAGAATCTGTGGTGCTTTTTCTCTTCTTCATTTTCTAGAGCAACTCTATCTTAGAAGTTTGGCAGAATTCATTTGGAAAGCAATCTGAGCCAGAGGAACTTGTGGCACCTGGACCAAGAAGGGGAATATCAGCTACCTGTCCATCTCTATACTATCAAATTTTGTCTTTCTGTTTCTTCTGCCCTCTGTTTATCTGATTACCTTGCTTGCACACACACCTCAACTCTCCCTGACCCATTTATGTCGTGTATGGTCTTTTTCTTTGAAGATTCTGGCTGTGGTTTGAAGCATTCAAATCCTCTATTTTCTGAGTCACTTCCCAAGCCCTCATACCACTGTTATCCTTTTCTTATTGCTCCTGATAACTCCCTGTTTATTTTCTGTTTGTCAGGATTATAGCTATACATTATCTCCATTTTTACCTAGGAATTGGGTAATCTGTCTAGTACATAATGTGACTTTTACTTTTCATGCAGTTCTGTTCTCTAAAACCTAAAATAAACTTTATAAAACTAGAGGGTATAATGCTAATAAGTATCTATATTTTTTTGCCTTTTCCCTTTGTATATAAAAATAAAAGGTTAAAAGTTTTATCACAGAGACTTTTTGCTTCGTGGAAATATTCCTCTTCACCCTGAAAATCCCCACTCCTCTGGACAGAGTCCACTGTCCCATAAAACTGTTTCATCCCTTAGTCCCAACCTTGACTCTCTAAATGTTTGGAAAGAAGAATGCCACCAGATCAGAGACATAAAAATGCACCACATTCCAGGAAAGAAATGGAGTCTCACATCTCAGCAGAGTTGGTGAATTTCCCAGCCAGGTCCTGCCACGCCCTCACGCACAGTGAAATTTGCCTTTCTCCTGTATTACTGACCATTCACCTATTTCAGCCTTACCAAAGGGAAACCCTTGATGGGCATAATTTGTAGCCTAATGACGTTTGTCTACTCTTGTAAGAATCTTCTCCTTACCATAACTAGTATTGGGACTATGTAAATGAGAGATGATCATCCCCCTGCTCCCATCAAGGTGAGGTGTTCCCAGTTTGGAAAGAGTCAAACATACTACCTAAAACTTAAAACTGATAAATTCTATGACAGAAACAAGTTCCAGGGGATGGAGGAAGATGTGGGGTAGAGTACTGGGTTGACTCCCACCTGGATCCAGCCCATGAGTTCTTAGCACTCAGGTACATGAGCTGCCTTAAAGGCAGCAGGACCTGGTCTATGGCATCACAACCCTTCCACATACTAGCTTTGGGTCTCTGTGAAAGCTGTGAGCTCCTCTGTGCTGAGATTTCTTCCTCTCTCAAGCAGGACTGAGAGTACCTACCTCGTGTGGTTGCTGCAAGGAGTCAATGAGTTGGTGTGTGCATTTCTGTTCTAGCAAGAGTATGCTGGGCTCCCAGGAGACACTGTTTCTCTGTGGCTAGCACCATGGCTCTTTGCTTCTCATTGCAGGTGGTGACCCCAGATGGGCGTGGGAAGAACCGAGCTAAGTGGGGCCTGCTAAAGAATATTCAGTCTGCCCTCCAGAAGCGCTTCTGAGTGTCTGCAGAGTCCCTCCAAGATGCACCAAAAAGTAGACACATATATATACATACCTATGTATTGTATTTTTCTCATCACATTCTTCATGGAGGTTGTAGATGGAAGTTTCCAGGACTAAGTTTACCAACAGGTGTCTTCTGAGAGCTAATAAATTGAAATCCATGATATCATGACCATCATGATGAAACTAAGATACAGTCATCAAATTTGTATGTCTCCTTCACTCCAGTCCAGTCTAGGCTCAACATTCTATATGTTGTGAATGTCAACATCATGCCCTGGGTGTTAAAAAGAGAGCTCTAGCTGTAGTTGGATCCCCTGGGCATGCATTTTAATGCTGACTTATTCTGGATGTTTGAGTGAGTCACTCTTTGATGGGGAGCTCATACCTTACCATGTAATCCGTTTCAATATTAAGTTTAGCCAACACTGTAAGAATGTCCTTCCTAATTATTGAGCCCAAATGTGTCGATGTCCGCTCCCGGCCGGCAGGAAGGACACACGACAAAGTCTGGCAGTGGACAACCTTTTCTTTTTATTTTCCTTCTCTGTACAGCCTGCCCTGGGATCGCTCCCAGCCGAAGCCTCCTCTGGTCCGCTCCCCGCGGCTCCTTTTGTGCTTCAGTCTGCCCCAAAGCCTCTACCGGTCCGCTCTCCGCGGCTCCTTTTGGGCTTTTACTTTTGGGCTTTTACCTGGCTTCTTCTTCCGCCCAGGGGTGGCACCGGTATATATACGGGTACAGTGTCCAATCATGTTAAAGTAAGCAAGGCAAGCTGATTGGCTAACATCATCAGTTGCCAGGCAGACTATATTGTTGAGCGGGTTGTTTACGCGGTAAGCAGGAAACTAACATGTTCGATGGGAGGGGTAATCTACCTCAGGCTTTGCTCTTTACCACAGGCCGCACGTCCGCCGCGCAAGGCGAGCTATCACAGACGCGGCTCCCAACACAAATGTATCTTTCCACAACTTTCATCCCTTCCTCTGAGATACACCTCTGAGCCATAAAGACTGTATGCCTTCCCTCTCACTCCCTCTGTGCCCCTGTGAAAATAAGGAGCTGCAGATGCCTGACTACATTACAGTATTACAAGAACAGTTTCCCTAGGGAGCTTTGTTATGATCCTATTACTATAAATGATGGCTTGGATCCACTATCAGATTTGGTATTACCATATAATCATTTCTGTAAAAAGCTTCAGAATCATCATTAGCATGGGGAGCAAATTAAATGACATGCCAGCAGGGATTTTACTACTGATAAACTAAAATGAAATTAAACTTAAAAAAACTTTAACTGTATAAAATTACAATATAATGATCATACCTACTCATGGCACCAACAAGGACTAGACTAGAATTAAATAAGCTGTAACTCCCTGATCTTGCCTCTCTAGCAAACATAGAAACCTGCCTTCAAGTTGGATTTTTCAAAAATGGATTCTTGAAAAATGAATTTTACCAAATTCAAGAGAAATTTCTAATCAACAAGGAAACTCCTGCCCATTGCTTGGTCTCTCAAGCTATGATTCAGATGGAAACCCCAACCCCAGGACTGCCCTTGAAGTGAAGATACATATGTTTGTTGGTACATACATAGGTATGCCAAATATAACCAAGAGACTGGTAAGTGTAAATTTACAGATATACCCCAGCATATTGAGGAATAATTTCTCTGTATAGCCACATATTTTAACAACCCTAATAACCTTTCTTTAAAGAAGATCTTTGACTACAGGAACAAATAATTAGTGGCAGTCTTGAGACTATCTCACAGTGTGGTAGAACTCCAGCTAGTTACATTAATGGAAGTTTTCTTGCCCCTCCTTTTTTCTTTTGATACCCATTTTAGATTCATTCTTTCATTAGTACATCTATAATGAGACCTGTGGGAACACAGTGGTGAATTAAACAGAACCAATCCCTGCTCCACATATCTTGTTATCTGATAAGTGAGACATCACGTAAGTAAAGATACAAACACACGAAGACTACAAATAAGAAGAAATATTAGCAAGGAAAGCAGCATGGAGTTGAGAAGTGTCAACTCTGAAAAGGATGTCAGTGAAGGACTCCTCAATGAGAAGGAGACAAAACTTACTTGCAGAAAAAAAAAAAACCATTCCAGACAACAAGGAAGCAGGCACCAAGACCCTGAGCATTAAAATACTTGGTATGTTCAAAAATGTACACCACTGAGGGGCTGGAGTACAAGAAACAAGGAATATGTACATGTCCCCCCTAGCACAACTGGTGGGCCATCATAGACGGTGAGCACCTCAGGAAGCTCAAGAAGAAGGTGACACAAAACTATGTCACAACCATATTTATCATTGGTAGTATTACTTTGGCTTCTGTGGAAAATGAGGTGTAAGGGCCAAGAGAAAATACAGAAGGGTTGTTAGCAAAGCATGGTCAGCTAGGCTGGAAAGGGATTCATGGTGGAATTGATAATCCTTTCTAATCAGTGGTGTGTGTGTCTGTGTGTGTGTGTGTGTGTGTGCGTGAGAGAGAGAGAGAGAGAGAGAGAGAGAGAGAGAGAGAGAGAAAACAAGAGAGAGAAATCAAGAGCAATGCCCAAGATTCAGCAGTAAGTATTTGATGGATTGTGCATCCATACAGAGGAAAACAAGCAAGGTTCAGTGAAACTACAAACATTGTGCTTTGGGTGAATGAAATGTGAAATACTTGAGAGACAACTGAGTAGCATCTAACAGTTGCACATGAATATTACATCAGGTGATGGAGTCAGGAAACCTTACCAGTTATTTTAACAGATAGAATTGAATATTAGGGACTGGTTAAATGAGGACTGAAGAACTGAGGATGGAAAAGGGCTTTTGGATAATAACAAAGAGAACAACGGCAGGAAGCCACTGTGACATCTAGGACTGGAGAAAAAAAATGGAAGAAAAAAAAGAATGAGATTACCAGAGGCAGATGCTCTAGAGAAGGAGCTCTGAGCTGGGAGTCAGATCAATGAGGAGGGATTACTGCCTGGCTTTTACTGTTCTGCATAAGAGGCTTCCAAGGGACTGGTTCTAGGAATGCAGAGAGAATTCCAGCAAGGGCTCTACTGCCACTGCCCACAAAAGACTAGCTGCATTGATGCCATTAAGAGTGTTGGACAGAGGACTTTCCTTCTTCCCCTTACACTCCTCCAGGATTTTGCTGGTCTCTTCTGGTAACACCACCCAGCAGAGCCAGTGGGCAAAGGGAAGATGGCGTCTGTGGAACTCCAGCATGAGAATCATAGGCTGGTGTACACGGCAGCTTGGGACCGAGTGCCAGCTTCACAATTGTCATAGCTCTACAAGACTGGATATGAAAGAATAGCCCTGGGCTGGGGACCTAATGTTGGGAACCATCAGTGGGTATGACTAAAAACATGCAATGCCCTGAACTTAGCTCAGGTGCATGGAGTAGAAAGTCACAAAACCCCTGTCTTTATGTTGCTTTCTGATCACTGCAAGAACAACACTGAAGAGCAATTAGGCATTTAAGTACATGACATGGGTTCTATCATCAAGCCAGATGAGCATTAGAATCTCTTATGGAGTCTCTGAAAATGCAGGGCCCACGTTCCCTGATGTGATTCTTCTGAAAGCCTCTTCATGATTCTGATGAGCAGTCCTTATCCAACTTAACAAGTACTAAAGAACTCTAGATTGTGACACAAGTTTTTGGAAGATGGCTCCTGGTTAACAATGAGAGTTAAGAATTAGACATGAAAGAGGCCAAAGGAGATTGCCATGAGGAGGAGGCAGCTTGAAAAAGACAGCCAGAAAAGAAAGGAGAATCAAACACAGAGGACTCAGGAAGTGCTCCCTGCTTTGAGTGGTTTAACTCGGTTTACCACATATGGTACTTCCCTCTTTTGAGAGATCATCAGAAGTAGGGTTTATGGGGAAATGTTGCTATCAATTAAATTGTGGCTATCATTTCCACAGTTGCTCCAGTCCAAAATGAATAATATGAATCTAATTCCATTTGATCTATGTCTAATTGATAATATAAGAAGTGCCTGAATTTATTCTGGAAGCCTAGGAGAAAAGAAGAGAGGAAGGGGAAATCACGGGGGGCTAGAAGGTGATGGGAGAGAGAACTCAGAACCTGCTGTCTTGGTCCATAGCCATGGTAAGGTACAGCACTTGATCCCTCTCCCCTAGCAGGGAGCACATACTTAGACTCACAAAGCACTGTGAACCCACCTTTCAGCACACACTCACACATGTTCAATGTGCAAACACGTCTGAACCCCAAAACACATGCAAATCCACTGAGCCAGTTTGAAATCTTCCATAAAATATCAGAGGAAGAGGAGAGCAGGGCTGTCCCACTGGAAGAAAGAGGGATGGGGCATTTTCCTGTTCCCCCTACCTCCGAATGATCTGTGAGAACTTTTTGCTTTCCATCACAGAGTTTCTTTGCCAATGAAAAACTGAGTCAGGTTGTGTAGCCATTCTCAGAGAAGCTACCACATTTTAAGGCAAGTATTTAACTAAATCTAAGTGGGGAAATGCAATTTACAGAGCCGCCCAAGGGGCATGTGTTACTGCAAAGCTGAGCTGGCCCAGAAGCTAGAATTGTTTATACTGAGCTGTAGAAGTTAGCAAAATAGGTTCAAAACAGCGTTCTTCAGATGCTGCGAATCTGTGCATGGCTTCATTTCCATTCCTTTAATTCCACCAGGAGCTATAATTTCTAAATTTTTCTTCAGGAAAAAAATCATTTAGCTCAGAAATAATGCTTTCTGTATAAAACTGTAGCTGTTTCAGGGCTTATGTCTTTGATTTTTTTTCTTCCAAGAAAACCATAATAAAGAGAGTCTTTCATCTTAATAAAGCCAGACGTGGGAAATTTCTCTCTGACAACAAATTCACTCAATAAAAATTGACCAAGTGTTGCACCAGCCTAGCTCTTAGCATCTGGAGGAAATAAAGAAATTCTGCCCTCCATGGGTTTATCTACCTGCAAAGGTGGGAGGGAAAATCAGGCTGTGTAGGCTTTGGTAACTGAGCCAAGACTCATGGAAGGAGTGGGACATAACGGGACTGTGAAGGCTGAATGAGAATTAGAGGTGTACCTAAAAGTAGAGGCAACTACTCTGAGGATGACAAGATGTAAAGGATATCCATACAGGTATTAATT